CAAAAATAAACTGTGCTTTTTGAGTCAGCAGCATCTCCGAAAACACACTGCAAGTGCTTGACAATATCAATAGTTTTGACTCCTTCCTTCCACAAAAAGAACATTATTCACCTTTGATTTTTCACCGCGTCTTCCATAATAGAAAAATAGCAAGGGACAGCACGGCCTATAACTCGAGAATGGAGTGAGTGTATTGAATGGCATTGACAGGTCCTAATGCTTACATGTTGGCCTACGTATGGGCCGACTCTTGTTACCTTAGCTCTAATCGTTCTTGTTTAATAAATAAATTCCTATTACTTTTCGAACACCCCTCGTATATCGTTGAGAGGGCCGCTGAGTATTAAGGCTGCTAACTGAACTCGGGAATTCCCGAGAAACAGTTTATAGAAGACGGGTGTCTTCTATAAACGCCGGTTAGAGTGCCCCATCTCACGCTCTTGAGCTCGCATGTTCTCTCCGGCCTTTGCGACTGAAGGATCAATTCTTGAGAATGGGAAAGTCGTTGTACGCCTTGCTTCTTCCCTCCAGGGACGACTGAGCACAAGGGTAAGGTTCCCGATGCCACCTGCGATGGTGGCTGCGATGTGGTCCTCAGTTCCTCATCCACTCCAGAGATAAGGCCACCACAACAGTCCTCAGTTCGTCGTCCCCTCCAGAGATGGTGCGTGGATTGGTGGTACGAGAAAGCCTCTCAAGGACATGGTCCTCGTCACCTCCCGTCTTCCTGGGAACAGTTTATAATTTCACGAAAAGTCATTGAAAATTCACCAAAATTCCTCACACTCAAACATATTCCCGACATTTAGAATGAACAAGGCCAAGGACTTACCTTTCAGTCGTGATGAAGGCGAGGGAACTGGTGATGGAGAAGATCACGTCTAGACTACTCTACTTCTCAGCTTACAGCAGCTTTTATACCCTCTTTTTCCTCCCTCCATGGAGTGGTCGACCTTGACACACCCCCTTCCCACCCAGATATCCATCTCTCCTGCTTCCTTTCCCCCTTCCCCTTTGATCTGATTACGAGTCCGTTGGCGAACTAATTTCTTCCCTCTTATCTCCCATTGCCTCTTCAAAGCACGCTCGTCCCATTTCCTTTGTTAAAAAGTGAATTCTCCCCACTTGTTCTCTCCCCACAAACATTAGCATGAACAGGAATATCATCCCTCTCAGTCTCGCTCGACCCGTTTTCTTGGAATACATTTCTCCAGCAATTTTAAATGGAATGATCATGTAGATGTAATCCGCGCCATAGCTACTAGGAAATTTAACTGCCTAAAAATCCTCTCTGGAGCCAATAGGTGCGAACACCATGTAATCCTAAAACTCTATTGCACCTACCTTCGCCTTGTACTAACATACGCCATTGCTGCCTGGGCT